TAGTATTTACCCTAGGTTGCCATATACCATACTGTAGTATTTACCCTATATTAACATATACCAAACGTTATTAACATACTTCGTTGTACTTATCTCGATAACTGAATTAATTTACGAATTCGATTTCGTCTTAATTTTCACTCCCGTAGAAATCTGATATGTGTGATACGTGTCATGCGCTTCTAGAAAATTCATGTCCCTTCTTGAAGCCTCGAGTGTTTACTAGATGTACGGTATTCTTGCATATAAGACCGCAAAAACTGACGGCAACAATGTAATTGAACTGCAGACAGAGAGAGAGAGACTGACGATTGAGTCGAGCACGCGAGTCGTTCGTTGTGAATTATAGCGTTTGTTATAGCGTGATTGTGGAAATTAAGTGTATTGAAAAGTTTTATTCATAAAGAATATATCAGTTTTATTTAAGAAAGGACTTGTGTCCCTAAAGTTTCATGGGAAAGAAATTATACGGGAAATTAACTAACGACCAGAGACGTAACAATATTTCCAGAATTTGGTGGTATAGGTTGAGGATGATAATTAAGAAAATCCAGTATTAAAACCATTTGTACTAAATTTCATCAAAACCAAATTGCTAATCATCATACGTTTTATGAACTTTTTTTTTCAACTGAAGTAGAAACAAAAGTATTCTTTTACATGGCTCAGTTTTCTTACTAGAACCGGGCGTGACCCAGTGGTTAGCGTGGCAGACAGTGAATATGAGGATCTATGGCTTGCGCCCTGTTGCCTCAAAAATAAAATAAAATTCGATCTCTACACTTTGGGGTTGTGGATATGTTATAAGAGAGACAGTGAAATCTCACTATTTGATTTGAGTAACTCAAGAGTTGACGGTGGGTGTTTTAGTCTCTTAGTTTAAAATTAATGACGGTTAGTCTTGTGTAATTTTGGGCGAATGTCGAAAACAAATAAACACAAGTATTTATTGTTACATTTCGCTGTCTTAATGAAACAGATATGAAAAATCATTATGAAGATCTAACTATTTTATAGTATAATCAGGCTAATAGAAGAACAACACTCAACATAAGGCTTAGCACACTAATTCAGGCCTAACAACACGTATAAATAGAATCGTAAAAGAAGTTACATTACTGGGAGTACTTCTACATATAAAGGGAAAGGTTGACAAGTATATGTGTGTTGTTCTCTAGTAATTTCTGTTAGCGGTATAGTGGACTCTCTGTTATGTTTACATTCCAAGGATCGAACCCAGAACTTTAGTGTTATAAACTATCCGGCCAGTTATTTCTATTTGTTTTTTGTTTGTTTGTTTAAGACCAAAGCTGCCGAATAAGCCATCTGAGCTTTGCCCACTGCAGGGATCGAAATCACAAATTTCAGGGTTATAAGCTCTCACGCTTATCAACGAGCCATTAGGGGCCAATAATTTTTAGATAATAATATTTTCAAAATTATTGTATCAGATACACGTGGATGGTAGGTGTCATTTTTTTCTCTAACAAGTATTTTATTTGTGAAGAAATAAATGATTAGTTATGTTAAATATGTTTTAGTCTTTACATTCAGAATTGACCTAAATCTTGAAAAACTTTAGCAATCCAAAACAAGTTATACGGGTGTGTTATGGGCGTAAACGTAAAGGCAGTGCATAATTTTAACATATATTTTTATTTTTAAATAATGAGAATCAAAAACCTAAAAAAAAAATCTTATTGCAGTTTTGTTAACAGAAGAACGTTCAACACTTTAAGTAAGGCGTAACACATTAATTCAGGCTTAACAACACGAACAAGTAAAATCATACACGAAGTTACATTGCTAGATTCTTGGAGTGGTTCATTGTTACGTTCGATAACTAGGTCATACTTTGCACCGTTAACTTCTTGACCTGTTTGTTTTAATTTGATCGTAAAGGCTACACAAGAGTTATATTGTCCCTAATTTTGAACTGATAGATAAAAATGAAGGCAGCTAATCAACAGCACCCATCGCCAACTCTTGGTCTACTCTTTACTAACCGAATAATGGGATTTGACTGTCACTCTTACAGTGTACTCGTAGCCCCACAGTGTGGAGCACGTTTTTGAGACAACGGAACGTAAACCATGAATCAACGGATGCACTGTCCGAACATACTAATCACTAGATCATACCTGAACCCATTTTACATCTCAAATTCACACTTTAACATACGTATGTATGCTGACATACTAAATGACGTCATAAGTTAAATTATGTTTTGAAAGAGTGTGTGTGTTGAATTTTATTGCGTTATTAACTAGTCCTATTATGTTTTTATTCAGGAGAGGGAGTGTGTGTCGAATTTTATTGCGTTATTAACTAGTCCTATTATGTTTTTATTCAGGAGAGGGAGTGTGTGTCGAATTTTATTGCGTTATTAACTAGTCCTATTATGTTT